TCTTAGTTTTCTTAATGTTACGTTTCAAGCCAATGTTTGCACTTTTCTTCTTCACCTCATATACTTTACCTTTTTCATAACTAAAACCAGATTTAAGTTCCAAATTCTGCCAATCTCACATGTCCTTATTCTTGGTCAATATGGTTGTATTTAGCTTATTTATTTTTAAGCTTCAATTTTTCCAAATAGTTTAATCTTCCTTATAACATATTCAATATTCTCTAGCTGGTCTTGCACAATCAATACCAAATCATCAGCAAACGTTTATAGTTGTGCACTTTAATTTGCAACCCTTTTACTTTGTCTAATGTTCCTGTTTAACAATCCCAACACCAGAATAAATAATAAAGGACATCCCTGTCTTGTCCCTTTCTGGATTTCACATGGTTTTCTTAGGTCTCCATTCACCATAATCTGAGCTTTTTGGACTGTACAAATGGGCTTCAAACGAGCGGTGAATTCCTCTGAAGTCTGCTACTGGTTCGGTGAATCTGCTACAGAATGCGCGCTTTGTGCGCATGTGCACCTGAGGCATGTCCATTCAGCAATAAAAAGGAACATTTTGAAGCCTTCCAGGTAAGTAGAACAGAGAGTGGGGGTAATCTGCTGTGCTACACAATTTAGATTAGCTAGAAAGCAGGAAGTCCAACGACTTTAGCGAATATAATTCATGCACCACACCTGATCATTGGAAATCGCAGTTCACCTGAACCAGTAGCATTTCACCCCTGCTTCAAACTCTGTATAAAGCTCAATCCAAAATCCATCTTGTCCACTACTTTGAACATAAAGTCCCAGTTTATAAAATGGTTGTTCTGCATCTAGAAAAAACAATGTGATTTGTTTGTCACTACGCTGTTGTAAATGTATAATTATATCCAAGATTATTCTTACATTACCTTTTAGTTGTCTTTTGGATAAAAATATACCCTGGTGTCTTTAGGTATGTAACCTTGTAAAACTTTTGAAAGTCTGTCAGCTAAGATAAATATAAAAAGTGTGTAAGCATTATTAAGAAGAGCAATTATAAACCTGTAATTCTTCACTAAGGTGCAACCACTCCTTCTTTGGATATTAAACAGATGTAGGCATCAGAAGTGGGTTGCTACCAGTTCACACTGGTTCAAGCAAACCGGTAGTAGAGATTGGGACTGCGTTGCCAAACTGGTAGGAACAGCAGACTGGCCACACCCCCAAACCTGTTCCCTAGATGCCTCTGCTGTTGCTGGCTTTTTAAAGTCATTTTTTTCATTTTACATGCAATTTACACAATTTACAATTTACAGGCAACTCTGCGCATGTGTGTAGTGAATCAGCAGCAACACACCCTTGGTAGGCATCCTTCCATGAATAGGGTGTTCCTGTAAAATAGAGTTCATTAAGTCCTTTATCAGAAGAAGTAATTGATCTTTGAAGATTTTATAAAATACACCATCAGGTCCTGGAGCTTTAGCTATTTTGCCTTTTTTATTTGCTTCTGTTATTTCAAAGGTTGTTAATGGACTGTTCAGAATTTGCTTGTAGTTTTCTGATAGTTTAGGAAGATTTTGGGTTGATGTATAATCACCAATACTTTCTAAGGAGGTTTTCTGTTTCTTATATAAATTAGTATGTCAGGTTCCGAGGGTTAATGAAACCAGCCAAACACAGAAACGGTTTGTAAATGCAGTTTGCATTCTTCCTTCGGCACGAACTGACCAACAAAGTACTAAGGCAATGAATAAATTGTCAGAGCTGCCACCCTGTACTTCCCACCACCTTTTATAGTTACATTGGTAATTAAGATAAACCGCACTCTGCGCATGCGCACACGCATTACCTTGTGACCCAGAGCAAAAACCACCCGGCAATTAATCATGGATTATTAACAGGAGTTTCTTCAGCTTGTGGAGGTGGGACGGTTTTATTTATTTATTTTATTTTTTTAAAAATTGTTTTCGCTGGTAGAGGGTTGCAGGAAGCCATCGCAGCTGAAAATGAAGTTTGTGAGCCTGTTTTCTCTGGCACAACACTCAGGCCAAAACAGGTGCCCTGACACGAGTGATGTTGAACTGGCCACACCCACCCTGGCCATGCCGAACCCACCTCCCCAAGGTCAAACACAACAATGATGCAGCCGTCAATGAAATCAAGTTTGACAACCCTGCAATTAGAAACTATATTATTGTTATGCTGTTGTTTTAACTCACTCATTTGATTTTACATTTACACTATATGTTTTCAAATTTGCTAGTCACTAACTGAATAAATAGTATTTAGAAGAGAAGAGAATAACAGAGTTGGAAGGGACCTCTTCTAGTCCAACCCCTTGCTTAGGCAGGAAACGGTACACCACTTCAGACAAATGAATATCTAATATCTTCTTTAAAACATCCCGTGTTGGAGCATTCACAACTAGTTGTTCCACTGATTAATTGTTCTAACTGTCAGGAAATTTTTCCTTAGTTCTAAGTTTAATTTCATGTAAACTATTTCTTATTCACAAAAGGCATATTTAATAGGCAGAGTAAGTATGTATAGATATATGAATGATGAGTGTTTAATGATTAACTGTTCATGAGTACATGAGTACATTTCTTTGGAAATAGGTCTTTTACATAGAAGCTGAATATTATTTATAGCCCTAGTTATTATTACAATACACATTTCATAATATTGAAAGCAGAAGTAAATATTGCTGTCTTCTTTGCTCTTATATATAAAAGAGTTCCTGAAAAAAAGCTTCCTCAGTTGGTTCTTAATTTCAGGAGTTTCTGGAATGTTTTATTATTTACAATGAATACTTTTTTGTTCCTAAATTTTTTATTTCTCATTCAGCCAGCTTTTCAATTATCAGGTAAAATGTATTCAATTATTTAAATTGTTTTAAACTATATGTATTTAAATTCAATTATTTAACTGTTAAATTGTTTAATTTATTTTTATTCGGTCACAGTTCTAAAGTTTGTGTTTTTTTGGCAGCACTAATGTATGGATGCATTCTCTATAATTACTGATTGTATCTAAATAATTTTTTAGAGATTAACATTATAAAGTTTTTAAAAACTTTTTATACCTTTTTTTAAAAAAACATTTTTTCCTACTGGTTGGTATATTTTAATAATTAAGAATAGAAAATGTTTAAATTTAAATAGATGAGATACAATATAATTGTTTCAATATTTAAAATGTATAGAAGATGGAAAACATAGTAATAGTATAAATAGCATAGTATAAAAGTAGAATAACACAGTATAGTATAAAACTATACATTTTTATGGCTGAAAATGATTATATATCATTTCCACAGCATGAATGTTGTTACTCTATATTTATTATTATTGTTTATTTCATTTTATAGACAGTGAAACTTTTTTGATATACAATGAAAATCTTAATCGTTGCCTAAAACTTCAAGAATCTCGTTCCTTCNTATCTATCTATCTATCTATCTATCTATCTATCTATCTATCTATCTATCTATCTATCTATCTATCTATCTTAATCCCCCATCTATTTATCATCTATGAATGAGCTCAAGATCAACTATTTGCAGAGGATTGTTCACTTTTTTCTTCACTTTACTTAGCAAAGAAAATAGTAAATAGTTTTTAAATCTGCTTTTTAAACTAATTTACTTTAAAGTAAACTCTGCTGTGATATCTAGTGACATATGGAAAAAAAATCTAGGCATGGAAAACATTTTTGCCAATTTCATTCCTTGATTCTAAATTTTGTTTATTATTTTATCCTAATGTTTGTGGATTATTCATTTTTCTGAATTATGCCTAATTTTTATACTAATTTTACATGAGTTCATTTGGCATATCATCTAAAACTTGGTAATTTCCCTGATTACTGATTTATTTATATGGATTACTGATTATTGTGATTAATGAATATTTCAAACTAAATGTTTTCCAGGATATATTTTAATGTTAATTCAGCTCTTCAGTTTTTCCAGTTTCCAAAAGATTTTTCAGAGTGTACAAGAATGAGATGTAGCACCTAGCTGCAACACTTACACTAAACCAGCCTCTTTTATGACATTCCAGATAGGAATGCTATATTAGTATACTATGAAGAATTTTTTGGAGCAGTGCTCTCCAACTTGGGATGTATATTTTTGTCCATTGTTGTGCAAGAAGACAACATTAGGATGTCTATTGTTTCTCAAAAATAAAAAAATAAGACAATATAAAAATATAAAATGTATAGTATACATTTGGATTATGTTTTACAATACACATAAGACAGGAGTAAAATAATACATAGATATATTTTACTCTAAACATAGTTGTTTTGAGGTACACGTTTAATGTTTCTACTGATAAGGATGTGTGATTAAACAATTATGGAGACCACTGCTGTAGAATAGTATTTCCCAAACTCAGCAACTTTAAGATATGTGCACTTCAGCTCCCAGAATTCCCCAGATAGCGGGGAATTCTGGGAGTTGAAGCCCACAATCTTAAAACTGTCAAAATTGGGAAATACTGCTGTAGAGAATGTTATGATGCAACTGATGTCTTGGTCAGACAGCTAGGTCAAGAGAGCTACAGCATGTGACTTTTTTATTTTATTTGTAGCAGGGATTGGGCAGGCCTTTTCATTGACCATGGCAGCATTTACTAAGCATTTACTAAGAGACCTCAGTAAGATGTCCTTATCCAAAGGCCTGCCCTTATCCTAAATATTCAGGCAAATGTGTAGTCTTTGCTGTAAGGAAGATTAAACTCCAGTCCTGGTAGCCTTAACATATGTTATGGGAGCATATATTAGCTCTGATCAAGAATCTGTAAATATAGTATTGTACTTTCAGATCTGAGAGTATGATGATGGTGATAGTGATAATTTTATCCCCACTGTTTTAAATGTACTGAATCCTCCTGCCTCCTATTTTCTCTTCAACAACCCTTTGAGGTGGATTGACTGGTAAAAGTGTAAAATGGGTCTGAGATGCAGAATTTGAAAATGGAGAAAATCAGAGACCATCCTGATATGAATTATTTTTACCACAGATTTGAGCAGGCCTTCCTGACCAGCCAAATTGGACACCATCCTGAAACATATTTCTGGATCGGCCTTTCAGATGTAGCAAATCCAGGGACTTTCAACTGGACCAATGGAGACCCGGTTCAGTTCACTCACTGGAATGCAAAAATGCCTGGTATGGAATCTGTCAGAGCAAATACATCCTAGCAGGAAAGCTTTTATCCTTTTTAGCTTGTCTATGGTGATGCATTAAATTTAACTGGCTCTGGTCTTCCATCCTGCCAGGCCAAAATCTTGGCTGCGTTGCCATGAGAACGGGAGATGCTGCTGGACTGTGGGATGTTGTCAATTGTGAGGAGAAGGCCGCCTTCCTTTGCAAGCAATTGGCTGAAGGCGTGACGCCTCCTCCAATCCCGGAACCAACACCCCTTGCCAACTGTCCTGAGGGATGGATCGCAAGTCCAACAAGGAATATCTGCTTCAAGGTAAGTCAGCCCATTTTGGAATCAAAGCATTTGCTTGCTCAAACAGATTCACCCTTTGAGACCAGCCAGGTCAAGAGGCAGACACTGCAACAGGAGTTGGCATTCCAGCCTCTCCTCCTATCCATTCCGGGGGGAATTTGAAGCCCTTCAGCCATAACTAACCCCTTCTCTGAAAAGGAAATAGAGTGATTGGAAGAACAAGGANCTGAGTGTACCTTCAAAATCAAACATGGTTCCAGTTACACTGTCACCATGCAACAAAACCCTTGATGAACAAAAATGGGGATGCAGAAATGACACGCTTGTCCTTGCAACAGAAGAACTATTTTTAAATCCTGCTAATGGGCATGAGAATAAGGTTATAGTATCAGCAAACTCCACCAAAAAGAGTGTTTGGAAGATTTACGGAACACAGAAAATCTTATGCTCCCAGAAATATGAAGGTAAATATCTGAACATTAATCCTTCTTCCTGAATTTGCTTACCTAAATTCTCTTCCTCTTTGAATCTCTTTACCTGAAAATTAAAAAAAAAAGATACTAAAGATATAATTTCAAATTATATTACTTCCTAGTTGTCCTTTAACATATTAGTGTTGTCTTTTACATCATCTGAGAAAAAATGGAATATTCAGATAGTCTTTAATGTACAGCCCAAAGTTTTTGCTAATCAGAGCAGTTGTCAAATGAGTTGTGCTCTACTTTATGACCTTTCTTGCCATAGAATCATTGTAGTTGTTGTTAGTAACATGGTTATTAAGTAAATCTGGCTTTCCCATTGACTTTGTTTGAAGATGATCAAAGGACATTTGAAATTTTGCTCCTGTGACCATCAGGATGCTGAAACATTCATGAGTGTGAAAACCAGTCATGTCACTTTATTCAATGCTGTTGTAACTTTGAATTGTCACTAAATGAATATATGATTACTGTATTCTAAGATATAAATTCTGAAATTGATAGATTATATTCTCAATCTAACTTGCATATTTTTGATTTTTGTAATAGCTCTATTCACTATAGAAGGCAATTCCTTGGGAGCACCTTGTGTGTTTCCTTTTAAGTATATGAATAAATGGTATGCTGAATGCATAGTTGATGATGATGAATGCCAACGACTTTGGTGTGGAACAACTCCAGATGTGGACAAAGACTCTTTAACTGGATATTGCCCCATAAACGGTAAACTCTTATTTGATGATACATTTATTTATTTTGTATTTATTTATTATTATTTTTACCTTTATTATTTTTACAAACAACTCAAGGCAACAAACATACCTTCTTCCCCCTATTTTCCCTACTACAACAATTCATTGAGGTGGGTTGGACTGAGAGAGAGTAACTGGCTAAAAATCACCAACTAGCTTACATGGACAGCTAAGACAGGATTTGAACTCACAATCTCTCTTTTTTAGCCTAATGTTTGAACTGGCTTTCATGCTATAGAATATCTATATCTATGTTTAAAAACAAGCCTTTTATAATAGACTGTGTCATGTTCACTACTGCAATATTTTAAAGCAGCTGTGCCCTATAGGTAGTGTCACAACATCTTGGCAATGGGTTATCAATTACAACTTAATATAGTACATTTTAAAATAAAATTAATTAAATTTTCAAATCACCCTCGCAATATAATTAGAAGTAACTATTTTTTTCATAGTTAAGGTGTTTAGATTGCAATTGTGGGAAGAAATGGGAAGAGAATGTTTTGTGTACTACCTTGAGGCCCTGCAAAAGGAAGGAAGAAAGGAAGGAAATAAGGAAATAAGGAAGGAAGGAAGGAAGGAAGGAAGGAAGGAAGGAAAGATGGATCAGAATGTCAGCAGAATAATTTTGGCATAAAGTTATCTCTTATGCATTTTATTAATGTTTTATACTGTGAGTTCATATTTTCACAAAATGTGGAACCCTCTTTTTTTAGAGACTATATCAGAGGTGGGTTGCTCCCGGTTCATCCTGGATCGGCTGAACCAGTAGTAGCAGCAGCAGGATGCTCTGCCCCCCCCCCCCAGGATACTTCTGTGCATGAGTAGAAGCATCACGTGTGTGAGAGTGCACCTGAACCAGTAGCAACAAAATTAGCAACCCACCAGTGTACTATATCAAAATATTACATAAAACTGGCTTCAATTCTACCTTTTCTGCATTAATCGGCAACACTGATCTTGATTGACCAGAAAGCATCAGTAGTGGGGTGGGAGGAGATTATCAGGAAATCTGAGGATTATAGATTTTAGGAAAAAAATCCCAAAAGAAATAAGTCACAAAGCACTTTTGTTCTGTTTTCAGTGTCAGGATCAAACTTCTTTTCAGGGAATCTTAATTTTTTTATATAGTCTTATAATATTTTAATACATATGCAGATATTCCTCAACTTACAACCATAATCATGTTGCTAAATGAAATATGTATTGAGTTTTTTTTCCATTTTATGATTCTTTTTGCCACTGTTAAGTGAATTATTGCAATTGTTAAGTAAGTAACATGGTTGTTAAGTGAATCTGGATTCTGGATCAGGTGGTCCTCAACTTACAACCACAATTAAGACCAAAATTTATGTTGCTAAGTGAAAAATTTGTTAAAGTGAGTTTTGTCCCATTTTATGACTTTTCTTGCCAATTCGTTAAGCGAATAACTGCGGTTCTTAAATTAGTAATACAATCATTAAGTGAATCTGTTTTCCCCATTGATTTGCTTGTCAGAAGGTCACAAAATCTGATCACACGACTCCAGGACACTGCAACATCATAAATATGAACCAGTTACCAATGATCTGAATTTTGATCATGTGACCATAGGGGATGCTGCAATGGTCATAAGTGTGAAAATGGTCATAAGTCACTTTTTTCAGTGCCATTGTAACTTTGAATGGTCACCAAAGGAACTGATGTAAGTCAAGGACTTCCTGTATATAATTTGGTATCAAAGTATAATAGTGAGATACTAATATTTTCATGGGATTCCTGATTGCCTGGAGGCATCTGTATGTTTCCTCATGGACTAAGGTGACCAGACGTCCCGCTTTCGGCGGGACACCCCCGCTATTTGATACAATTTCCCGCGTCCCGCCCGCTTTTTTAAAAGGCACGCTTATTTTGGCACTCGCAGCTCCCGCCCATCAGCTGCTGGGCTGGCTCATTGGTCTGTTCTATGCTACCTACAAATTTAAGCCAGCCCAGCCTGCCGCTCACTGATTTAATTGGCCTGGACTCCAGCCAATCAGTGAGCTGGCCAACCAGCTCTTTGATTGGCTGGACTCCTTAGCTGAGGACGCC